GCGCGCGCACGCTCGCACACAAGCAACACGTCGTAGCCAAGCGTCGAGCGCACACGTTTTTACGACGTGTTGCTTGTGTGCGAGCGTGCGCGCGCAGACAGACTATCCCCACTCCATCCCCACCGCCGCGGCACCGTCCGTGCTAACGTTCACGGCTGGGAACACTGGCTGCACTCTCCCCCGAGCTCACGGGCGATGGCGGTCGGCGGCAAGCGCGCGGTTGCGATGTAGTTGTTTTGTCGCGTCACGATCCGTCGTCGTAGATCCGCGGCCGGGGCCGGCCGGGATGTCGTACGCCAGTCGCACGGTGATCTGAGGCGGCCGTCGCCGAAGAGGGGCCCCGTTTTCCAGGATCCGGCATGGCGCACCTCAACGCCGTGCTGAAGGCCGTGGAGACGCTCAACGCGCTCCGGGAGTCGGACGCCCCGTCGGATCCCGGGGCCAGGTACGTGCGGACCGTGCGGTAGACGCCGCGGTGCGTTGGCTCAACGTTGGCTCGATGCAGGCAGATGTCGGGCCGACGTTTAACCAATGTTATTGTAATTATTGACGCGGGTTTCCGCAGGAAGGAGAAGGTGTCGTGCTGCGCGGTCGTCGTCGAGGGGATATGCTCGCCGACCGTCAGACAGAACGCCAAGTTCCCGCAGATCCTCAGTGCCACCATCGAGACGCTGCTGGCGCTCTGCGACGACGACGAGTCCGACGTCAGGATGGTCGCGGACGAGTCCCTCAACAGGATCATAAGGGTACGTCGCCGCGCGCTTTTCCCTGTTGTAGACGTTCATGGGGCGAAGCGAGAAATTAAACGCACTTAACGTTGCCAGGCGATGGTCGACAGCAACGTCGTTAAGATCCAGATCGAGCTGTACAACGAGATCAAGAGGAACGGACCTGCGCGCATACTGAGGGCCGCGCTCTGGAGATTCGGCCTGCTGAGTCACATGATACGCCCGTCGAGGGGTAAAGCGTACGTGTCGAATCTGGTCCCGTGTATAGTGATCGTCGCGCATCGCTCGGAGGATACCGTGATTGAGACGCTGTCGCAGTCGTTGCCGTTAATTTGCAAGGTATTAGGGCCGTTTATGACAGACAAGGATGTCAAGGTAAGCGCCCCGTCGTTGTACGATTGTAGGAGCTTATATTCCTCCACGAGCACTTGGAGAAAGACCGAATCCTGTTTCAGAATTTGCTGAAGGCCTTCTTCGAAAATATCTCCTCCCCCCAGGCGGTTTTCCGCAGGGCGGCAGCTAGTATGATTCTGACGACGTGCATAAATTGCAGGAAGCCGCAGTTCTTTTTAAATTATGTGCTGGATTACATGCTAGGTACGCTGAACGATTGCAACGCGGCAGCATACGTTTATTAACAATGTTTATTCTTGTCAGATGTAATAATGTCGGGGAGAAGCGCCGATGATCATTCCTCCACCGTTATAGGCGTCTTTGGATGCCTGAGGGTGATTTTACCTTACATATGCAAACCCTCGGAGCCCCAAGACACCGAGACGCAGCAGATAGATAACTTGTTACACATTTACGAGCTGTGTCTGCACTATACAAAGTGGCATTCTGATCACAATGTGATAAACGCAGCTTTGGAGACTTTGGCGCAACTACTGAAAGCGCCGCCGAAGCCGCTGGTGTCCGTTTTATTGTCTTTGGAGGGCGTGACGCAAAGCAGAATAATGCTAAATCAAAACGCGTGTCTACCATCGCTGGGTCACATGAGCATCTCGAGCGCGAGTACCGCCCACGGCGGGAATTCGGATTCCATCTTGAACCTGCACGAGCCCGAGATTCCGGAGATTACTCCAAGCGCAGAGTGGATCGCGGACACGGAAACGGCACTGCCAGACGGGTGTAATCCGCAAACGCAGAACGAGTGTGCGAGCGACGTGACGGAGACGAAAGAAAAGATGTTGGAGAATTATTGTCACTTGAAAATCGAAACCGCCGACAGTAAGAATGAGCGTGCAAACTCACGACCTGACAATTTTACGTTTTGCTAGCTTTCAATTCGTTTGTTGTTGTTTTTTTTTAGACGAGATCGCGGACGAAGGCAGCGATGCCGGAAGCGAGATCGAAAAGTCCGAGAGAGCGCCGTATCCAAGCCTGCAAAGTGAACGCTCGACGAAGGAGGAAGATTGCTCCGAGGAGACTACTCTCTCGTTAGCTTCCCCTAAGAAGTCCTCCCTGGATTTCGCGTTGTACGAAATGGACGTCGGGAGTTTCACCGACTCTGATATGCCTGTTAAGTTCTGCTGCCGTTACCTGGTGTCGTCCTTTTTGTTGGCGGGCAAACCCGGACAATTAATATCGGACAAGTTGTTTCGCGTTAGCGTAAAGTCACTCGCTCTGACATGCGTGGGCTACATTCTCAAACTTTATCCGCACTTGTTTACAATGACCGTGGCCAAAGAGTCCAGCTGCTGCAACGAGACAGACCAATTGATTGCAGACATCTTGCTGTTTGCCAATCACTCAGATCCTCAGATCAGGGGTAACGTGGCGGTGGTGATTGGTATCTTTTTAAAGTCTGTATTTGTTCAGTACGGCGGCTCCTTCCGGAACTTCGAAACGGAATGTTTAGCTCAGCAAGGGCGTGGAAGTATATTGTTGGAAGACGTGATAAAGTTACTTTTAAAAGTGAGTCTATACGTTTTATAAAAGACGACACCAGTCTCGAGAGTTTTTTAACTTACGTCTGTTTCTGTCGAATGTACAGGGCTTGAACGATGATTCCGCGACGACGTGTCGTCAAACGTTGGACGCGTTGAACCTCTGCTTGCCAGAGTTACTAGATTCCATCGACAACGAACACGGTCTTACCATCCTAACTGCGTTGCCAAAGCTCATGAAAAATCCATATTTTCTCGTGAAAGTAAAATTAGCGAACTTGCTGAGCAAGCTGTCGTATATTACGATAGAACACATAACAGGACAATCATTATTCCAAGAACACTTTATCGATGTTATAATAGCGTTATTAGGTGATCAAGACAAAAGGGTGAGACACGCTGCATCGGACGCGATTGTTAAGTAAGATACATTTCTGGTTGTGCGATTAACTGTTTACTCGATTTACAATATCGTTTTACGTTCGTTTCCCTTTTTTTTTTATTCAGGAGTATTCCGCATTTATATTTCCGACACCCTCAAGAGGATACCGTTACGAGAAAGGCGACGCAATACACGCAACAATTTTTAAGCGCGGTAACATCGAGTATCTCGGAACTGTCGTCGTACCAAGACAAACATAAGCCGTTCGTGAACACGTCCATCAAGCCCTTTGTATTTCTGAATTATTATAACGAGGCGAATTACGATTCTAGTCTGGAGTACTCTCTATCCCGTATAGTTAATATCCTGACGGAGATACTAACGGTGCATTCTTCCAAGTACCTGATATACGGGTGTTGCGAGACCCTCTTCCGTTTGAGCGAGGCTTATCCAACTACGGTTTACGTCAGAGGGTGGGACTGCATCTTACCGAAGGCGCTGCTGAAAAAATCTAAGAAGAACAGCGACCGACAGGACGCTAATGACATTAATTTCGTCAACGAGATGATCTCCTCGCCGATGGGCAGCGGCCTCCTATCGCTGGCGTTGCCGCTGTTAACGTCGTCGACAATTAGCTTGGACTTATCCACGCATCGACACTTGATCCTCCTCGCCGGTAATCTGGCATCCGGGTTGGCCGTCTGCAACTTCAAGACTGGCGGTGACCCGATGAAACTTTGGAGCACGTGCAAGGACAGGTACATGGAAGTGCTGATGACGCACATCACGAGAGTCCTCAACATTTTCGTTCACGTCATCGACGAGGTGCAGATAACGCAGGCGAGCGCCAAGCCCGTGTTGCCGTCCTTGTCCACGCAAACGTTGTCGCCCAGGAAGAAAGTCACGTCGGAGCAAAAGTCGAAGGAGAAGGGAGAGAAGATCGGCGGCTTGAAGAGCGGGAAGGAGCAGACGGGAACGTTCGTCGGCATGCCGCATTACATCAAGATACACGACATCCTGAAGGCGGCGCACTCCAATTATTCGGTCACCCTGCAGCACGAGGCCAGCGAGATGTACGTTTCCCTGCTGAACGCGACGCTGGACATTCTCTCGCAGATCCTCGAAATCGCGTCCGTCAACGAAGCAGGTAGAATAGCGGAAGAGGTGTTATGTTACCTAAAAACCACCGTCGTATTGTCACCAACGGCAACGGTTCAATGTGTGCAGCAACTGCTCAAGTGCCTGTTCGGCACGAACGTGTGCGCGCAGTGGAGCGAGCTGGACGTGCAGAAGAATGCGGATCGGTGCGGCACACTGCAAGATGACGCCAGGGGTTTTTATAACCAGTGCTTCCAACACCCCGCCAGACAAATGGCGAACACG